GCAGAAGACCTCCGCGAAAAAGACCCTGAACTTTCAGTTGCTTGCCACTTCAATGCACCATTGTGTTCTTTGGCTTCTCTGTCTCAGGCTTGCTGCAGTGCTCCAGCGAAGCTCAGTGCAAACTGGAAGAACAGCATCTCATTTTCCACTCGGGAACATTGCAGCCTTCTGGACTTAATATTGAGTTCGACAATTTTAGGGCTTGGGCACCTTACCCTATACTTTACTCACTCCCACACACCAGGCTTTGTCATTACGTGGGCTACTACCACCCACCACCCATTGTCAGCCACAAACTGTTCCCATTAGCAGCTATTCATTGACGTAGACTGACACTTCACCAGTCCTTTGTCTGTCCAACTGTTTTTCTCTCTTTCTCTTTGGCCTCTATCTCCATTTATTATTTACTGTCCTCCCTCCCCCATGACATCTTTTAAATAAAACTATCCTTTTCCTAGCTACCATCAGTTCTAAAGAAAGGTCACTGGACCCAAAATTTAACTCTGATTTCTAACCATAGATGCTGTAGAGATTTTCCAGCAATTTCTGTTTGTTTGTAATTATTTAAGAGATTCTTTAGATAGGCAGTATAATTTGCCTTATTGGTATATAACAGTGGAAGGTAGAAGAAAAGTTTATTTTAAAAAAATGTTTTGAAAACAAATTTTTGTTGTACAATCGAAAATATTTAGAACCGTGAAAATGGCATAATGCCATTTTTGTTCAGTTATAAAGGGCGTGAATGAGTTGGGGAGGAAGTAAACATGGCATGAATCATCTGGATTGTTGAGAAATACGGGAAACATGCCAAGAAGAAGTGGAAAATTATGCCAATATTCAATCTTAGTTATGGAATGTCAACAGTTTGGAAACAGGCCATTCAGCCCAACAAGTCCACACCGACTCTCTGAAAAGCATCCTACCCAGACTCACCCCCTACCCTATCACTGTGTTTCCTATGGCTGATCCACCTAACCTACACATCACTGGACACTATGGACAATTTAGCATAGCCAATCCTCCTAGCCTGCACATCTTTGGACTGTGGAGGAAACCAGAGGACCCAGAGGAAACCCACGCAGACATGGGGAGAATGTGCAGACTCCACACAGACAATCACCCAAGGCTTGAATTGAACTTGTATTCCTGGTGCTGTGGGGCAGCAGTGCTAACCACTAAGCCACCATGCCGCAAATTCGTGGGTTCACTTCCAGTCTCAGATAACTGTCTGTGTGAAGTTTGCATATTCTCCCCTTGTCTGCATGGGTTTCCTCCCACAGTCCAAAGATGTGCAGGTTAGGTGGATTTGCCATGCTAAATTGTCCATGGTATTCAGGGATGTGTAGATTACGTGGATTTGCTATGGGAACTGCCGGGTTACAGGGATAGGGTGGGGGGTGATTCTGGGTGGGATGCTCTGCGGAGAGTCGGTGTGGACTTGTTGGACTGACTGGTCCATTTCCACACTGTAGGGATTCTAGGATTCTAAGGTGACAATAAAAAAAGTTTTGTTCTTTACATCAAAATCTAAATTGGTGAAGAAATAACATTTTACAGAATTTCTTTTTGGTTTCAGTGATTGAAAATAAATTTCAGAGCTTTATTGAAGAAATAGCTATACAATAGATTTGTTAAAAAAACTTCCAAATTTTAAAATTTAAAGGAAATAATTCAAACAAGATTTGAATTTTCTCTCCTCCCTCCCCCACCACATTTAGTTATAATTACTGAAAAACATAATACAGTATAAGCTGACCGCTTACAATTTAAAGATTTATGAAGAGTTCTTATTATGTTTTTCAGTAATTATAACTAGATTACTATTTCAAAAAAAACCGTAAAGCTGAAAATTCCTTTACAGCAATTGAACCGAAACCATAATTCAGAGTTAAAGAAGAAAAGCTGAAGGTACAACAGAATTTAATTTTTAAAAATAAACTTTCATAATTTAAAATGAGCAGATTAATTTAATCAAAGAATTGGAGATATCTATTACAGCTCCAGGTAGATTCAAGGTTACAAGTGCTTTAGACAGAGAATTAAGTAGTTCAGCATGGAAAAACAATTTGAGATATAGAATTTCTTCAGGTCTGCAAACCAAATCACAAGCAGATCGAGTTAACACACTGGTTTATTCTTGGACCATTGGTTGACCATGTTATGAATAGGAAAAAAAGTTAAAGGTCGTAAAAGTATTTGGCAACTACTTTAAGAACAAATCATATTATGGGAAGAACAAAATTCAATGAAATGTTAGTTTCCAGGAGAACCTGGTGTCAGTTTAATCAGTGATCTTCATATATAGCCTGAATCTTGTGAATATGGGGCTTTACAGCCAGAACTAATTTGATGTAGGATTGTCTTTGGGATTTCTGATTTATCTCTCTCAGATCTTTTACAAGCGAAGGATGTTTTCACACTGGAAAAATTACACAGACTGTGTTAGAAACATAGATTTGGGAATCGCCAGAAAAATCTGGCAAACAGAATTAATTTACTTCGGAAGACCATCTGAATCTATCAACATCTTTATGCACAAACACATTAAACAATCACATGACAAACTAACGCAAAGTGGAGTTACTGTCCAAGATGTAGAGCAAAGAAAAATGCACAAACAAAGGCAATGTCTACTTCCATCAAATGAAACTAACTTTTACAAGATAGTGAGATATTTTCAAAATATGTGCAAAAACCAGAAAAAATCCTTAAACAACAGAAAAAGAATGCTGGTTAGATCTCAAAAAGTAAATATTTTATGTCAAACACCATTAAAAGCAAAGCTTTTGACAGCCAGAATGCTTTCATTTGAATGTGTCTGCTTAGATAATGACATAACTCCTTTGAAAGAAATACCACAGCTATTTCTAGGGAAGATAGCCAGTCTTGTTTTTGGGAAATGTGCATGCCATCCAAAGCCAGAAGACTTCTCTTCTGAGCATGAAAGCATGTTTGCCCCAAAAATCTTGGAATTTGAGAAAGGATTCAAACCATCCAAAAAGACTTCTATTATCAGCCAACATGACGTATGTCAGCAAAAAGAAGACTTTACTGTTCTCAGATGAATGCTGGCTAAATCCGGAAATAAACACACACCAATTGAAATCATCTATCTCAATATAAAACAACTGATTCACATTACCAACAAAGAAGAAACTATCCATTTCACTGGACTGAAATAACCATTTACTTTTTCCATACCTATGGAAAAATCTTAAAGACTTAATCTCCTGAAAACTCTGGTAGTATCTGAAACCATTCATGAATTTGCAATGCAGTTGGTCCCGAGAGCATAGCTGTTCAGAGAAGATTGCAATACTGCACACTCAGTACCACTAACAACACTGAAATCAAGCAAAAGGATGACATTGACTAAAAAAAAATTCACCTAACTCTATCACATGATAAAGTCAAACGAGGAAGATTACTTCTTTCACTATTTCAGTTGTCTTCCATTAAAGGTTTTGAAGACTTAACAATCCTCTAGATAAGACAACAGTCTACACCAACACATGTCTTAAGTAAAAGACATTCAAGAAACGAAAGACTCACCAACAACACGGTATGATAAAGAACAGCACCTGAGTAGACTATCCTCAAGCAAATGTGTACCTACTTAAGCTATGAAATTCTCTCTTCAAACATCTTTGCCTTATTTTCCTTTCTCATCCCTTAAAATGTTTATTAAAATCTTACTCTTTAAATAAGTTTTGGTCACTTATCATGCTATATTTTTATGACTCAGTGGCAAATGTTCTGACAGCAGTTCTCTGAAGTGCCATTGGAAGTTTTACTACTTTAAAGGTGCTATATAAATCAAAGTAGTTGTTTCTGTGAAACTTTTAGATATGATGGTCTAGACAGTAAGCGTTATAGTGATCTCCTTAATGGTCATTCGCGACAGCTGGCTGAATCCTGATCTTTGAGCATGCCCCACATACCAACTTATCAGCAACAATGAATAGTAATGAAGAGTTCAAACACTTTTTGATCTTTTCCCAGTGTAGAAAAGTGAGGAGAAAACCAATTGTGATGATTTCTTGTTAATCGAAGACCTATTTTGATAGTTGGTGAAAACTCTGGGGTGCAAAAATACAATGAGTACCTAAGTTACTGTGAATCAGCATGCGATGTTGATTTGATACCAAATTCAGATCCCACATTCCAGCCTGCACCTTTATATTGATCTTTTGCATTTATGTAATACTTAACAGAAATGCAGGATATTCTTGCCTTTATGTTTAAACAAATCATGATTACTTACGAGTTAGTTGCTGGATCATTGCTTGTTGCTGCTGATACAATTGTGCATGTTTTTTGCACTTTTCCCACACTCAGCTAACGTTTAAATACTCTAAATAGTCTGGCTGGTATGTAAGTACTTTTTTATGGATTTGAAGTCTTATGATAAAACTTATTTCTTCCAGTCATGGGTGATATGGCTTCCACTGGGGTTGAATGTATCGTGTATAATGTTATAGCTTAAAAACAAGAGGAGCTGAGTGGTCTGCTCCTACTCCTGTTTCATATGTTCATACGTACCTAGCTGAAATCAGTTATTTAGTGAATTTTGAGCAAAAAAATTGCCACAAACTTGCTATTTTAGTCTGTTGTGTCACTCAATGCCCTACTGATTATGATAGTGTCTGTCACTACTTGTATCATATCTTTACCAAAAGTTAATGGTAGCCACTGATCCCAGCATTTCTTATTATTATTTCTTATTATTAACTCAATCAAAACTATTTATTCCTGATGAAGTCAGTTCTCAATCTGGTTCAACACTTCTTATTAAGTTAGTTGTTACTTTAATTTGGTTAAAATTTGGCCTTTATTTTAAATGATAAGAGAAAAACTGCAAATGCTGTAAATCAATCAATGTCTCTGGAGAGAACATGTCTCCACATTTTCTATTTTCATTTTGTGTTCTCATTCTCATATGGAGCTGATTAGCATAGATACAAAATAACGACAACAATGAACTTTTTGTTTCCATGCAGAGATTGGTTGATGCTGCTGAAGAAGCTGATTTATATCACAAGTATGATATGAATTTTGAGGTGAGTGTACTGATCAAGCACCAGAGCTGAAAGGTTATTTTAAAATTTTGTTAAAAACAGTACTCCAGCATTAAGGGTCCCAACCCGAAATGTTAACTTTCCTACTCCCCTGATGCTGCCTGACCTGCTGTGTTCCTGCAGCTCCACACTGTGTTGTCCCTGACTCCAGCATCTGCAGTTCTTGCTAAATCCAGCATCATAGCCTGAATTTACACTGACAAATTCTAATTATCTTGTTTGCTATTTGGTACTGAGATTTAGCAAAGATTTCTACTGAACTAAGCCCCTAGGTAATACTTGGATAGATTTGTATAATAGAATCATATAGCACAGAATGACACATCCAGCCCGTCATGTTGCTGTTAGCTCATTGAAATTGCTATTCAGTTAGTCCTAAACAAAGATTGTTTGCACTGTACTCCCGCTGGTTTTTATATCGATTTGCTTAGAACCTTTCCTTGTATATATAAGACCTGCTGAGTGCAGTTCATTCCCCTCATGGCAATGCTCACCTGCTGCCTGCAATGTGCCCCCCTCCCTAACATTAACCACATCCCAATCCCTGCGATGTTCAACCAGCCTTAACAATGTTCAGTCACCCTCCAGACAATGTTCACATGCACCCCTCAACAATGTTCATCTCCTTCTGAAAACGCCTACCCTGTTTGTAACGCAGCTTACCATCCAAGCAGTACTCAACAGCCTGTCTCTTGACAATGGATACTTATCCCTCCAGATAATGCCCATTGCCTTCTGACAAAGCTCACCCCCATTTGCTGACAATGTTTACCTCAATTCAGACAATGTCTACCCTCTCTGGACAATGTTCAATCTTCTTCTGAAAAAGCACATTCCACCCTCCCCACCCCTCCCACACTGCTCACCACCTTTCCTTACTAACAATGCACAAGCTATCTTAGTAGTGCTCATCCTGCTGTGACAATGTCCATTCCCCTTCGAGAAATGCTCACCACTCCTGTGCACTGCAATATTTACTACCCTACTATCCCCAGCAACTCTCTCCCTGCTCCCAGCAGCTCTCACTCTCCTTCCAGCAAAGCTCATCACCCCCTCTCTAAGCACCTTTCCTTGCTTCTGTCAGCTAATATCAGAAGAATTAGTATTGTTGGGGTTAGGCAGGAGGAAGAATGAGAATGGCTCAGGATGAAATGGGACAGTGAGCCATGAGATCAGCATTGTCTGTTTGGGATGGGTGTGGGGTGAGAAATTAACGAAAGGGTCAATTATGTCAGTGAGTAATAGACAAGGGTGATTGTTGCCCGGGTATGAGGGAGATGATAAACATTGTTGGGGGCTGTTAGGGTCTGAGCAGAATGGGGGGTGCTGTGCCCCTTTTCTGAGGAACTGTTAGAAGGGGAGAAGGGTTGAGAATTGCCAGAAATTGAAGGATGGTTGTAAAAATTGTCAAAGATAGGGGTGATCCAGTTTCAGAGGTTAACAGTTTCATCATTTTAAAAACCATGTGAATTAATGAATTGAAGACAGATCTTAAGGGATGTGCTGTCTGTTCATGGTAAAACAGGGGTTTATAACTTAGTTAGAATCACAATCATCATTTGGCTTCGTGACTGTGCTCACTACTGGATTCAAACTGGAGCAAGGACTGGAAGGTGCAAAATTTTCAGGGTAAATGGGTAGATGAATTTATCGTCACATGAAAGCACATCCACTTCCTTACTCTTTTGAAGACTTAGGCCTTTGATTCTACTACCTCCTCCATCAAATGCAGTACATTCCATGTTAGCTGCTTATAGCTGCTTTCTGAGTTCTACCTATGTGGTTGGCGCCTAAATGGACCATGAACAACCTGCTCCAAAATGTTCCTTTGCAGCTCAGAGCAGAAGTTTAGAAACCTGGGTAGACAACACAGTTCTCTGGGCACTGTGTCTCAGCTGCCCGAACTATACTGTTAAACTCCCCGAACTATACTGTTTCCTGCTACCACTACATTCCTAAATTCCACCACTTGAGTCACTTTCTGAACCATAGTGTCCTCGTCAGTTTGCTCATCCACGCTGCAGCTAGAATTTTCGTTGATAGAAGCTGCAAGAATCTCAAATGTTGGAGACTTAGTTTAAGCTCTATCCCTTTTACCTACTGGGTCCCCATATCCACCTCACCTGCTATCATACCTCCTGTGGTTGACCACTGACCAAATCAGAAAACGCTTTCCTACGAGGCTTAACCACTTTCTGGAATAAAGTGTCCTGGTATATTTCCTATCCCAGGTGTCATATTCTGCAGCTCAACCTCTGGCTCTCAAACCCTGAGCAAAAGATTGTTGAGTCACAGAGACCTATTTTCCTTTGATCACTCCACTGTCTAGGACTTCCCACAATATGCAGCTGCAACAGGTCACCTGCCTGCCACCTTTACTGTTTCTTAGTGACATAATTAATTATAATCTAAATTACTAAATCAATGCCTCTTTTCAAAGTTAGTGATATAGGGAAGAATCTCAAATCTTGGGAATGAGACAACTGAAGGCACTGTTATATTCTTCTCTTAGATGTAGATGTACAAATCATACACAAGAACTGGTGATACAACAAAGTGTTTCTTTATTTGAAAAGTAAACTATTTGTAAAGATTGTTCACTGGGAACCAAGTACTGTACATCTGATTTCTATCACTGCTGCTTCAGACTGAATAACAAGAACAATGGGGCAGCATGGTGGCTCAGTGGTTAGCACTGCTGCCTCACTGTGCCAGGGTCCTGGGTTCATTTCCACCCTTGGGCGACTGTCTGTGTGGAGTTTGCATATTCTCCCCGTGTCTGCGGGGGTTTCCTCCAGGTGCTCCAGTTTCCTCCCACAGTCCAAGGATGTGCAGGCTAGGTGGATTGGCCGTGCTAAATTGCCCATAGTATTCAGGGATGAGTAGATTAGGGTGATGGGTCTGAGGGTCGGTGTGGACTTGTTGGGCTGAAGGTTATGTGTCCTTGCTGTAGGGATTCTATGATTCTATGAATAACAAGTCATGTGGATGTAGCCATTGGATGTGACAGTATTTATTCCCTATCCTTAGTTGCTCTTGAGTAATTGGTGCTGTGCTGCTGCCGTGAATCACTGCAGTCCATTTGGTTACAAGTAGACCGTCAATGGCATTAGGGAAGAAGTTCCAGGAATTTGACCCAGTGAAACTGAAGGAATGGCTATATATTTCCAAGTCAGGATGGTGAGTGGCTTGGAGGGGGAATTGCAGGTGGTGGTGTTCCCATGTATCTGCTGCCTTTGTCTTTCTAGATGGGCTTGGGAGATGCTGTCTGAGGAGCACTGGTGAATTTCTGCAGTGTATCTTGTAGACTATCAGTGATGGAGGGAGTGAAGGTTTATGTATTTGGTGCCAGTCAAGTGGGCAGCTTTGTCACGGATGCTGTCAAGCCCCTTGAATGTTGTTGGAGCTGCATTCATCCAAGCAAATTGGGAGCATTCTGTTAAACTTCTGACTTGTGCCTTGCACATATGGACAGGCGTTTGGGAGTTAGGAGATGAGTTACTCACTGCAGGATACCTAGCCTCTGACCTGCTCTTGTAGCCACTGTATTACATGGCTATTTCAGTTGAGTGTCTGGTCAATGGTGACCTCCAGGCCATTGTTTGAGGAGTATTCGGCAATCGTAATGCCATTCAATGTCAAGAGGTGATGCTTAGATTCTTGTTGGAGATGATCATTGCCTGGCACCTATATGATGAAATGTTACTTGCCAATTTCCAACCTAAACCTGGATGTTGTCCAAGGCTTGCTGCATTTGAATATGGACTGCTTCAGTATTTGAGAAGTCAGAATGTGCCGAACACTGTGCAGTCAAGAGTGAACATCCCCACATCTAATCTTTTATAATGGAAGGAAGGTCATTGATAAAGCAGCTGAAGATGGTTGGGCTGAGGGCACTACCCTCAGGAACTCTTACAAAGAAGTCCTGGAGCTGAGATGACTGACCTCCAACCAGAACCACAATCAGTAGACTAATACATCATATCCTGTCTGGAGGTATGCATTAATTGATAGTTTTAGGGGTGATCTGTGCCTGTCCATATAAAGTGACCCGTACCTGCTTACACTGAAGCTGCCCGTGTAGAAAGGCACACAATAGCCGATAAGGGTTAAAACAAAATTTAAGTGAAACACAATGGTACCTTTGAACAAGACTACTCCAAGGTCAGCAAAAGAGCCTTACCACCAACCATCTGAGACTGTTTTGATAAGAGAATACCTAAGAACAGACAAGTATTAATTCCAGCCTCATTAATGAAAGGATGATTGTCTCAGTAAATGAATAATACCAGGTGTGAGTCTCAGCCCATGAATCAGCTAGATTGACTCCCTATACAGCTGCAAAGACAACAGCTAAAGATATTTTGTAGTAATTAGCTTTTTACCGTATTAAGAAATAGACTTTAGTAAAAGATTATTCAGATAATCATAGAAGTAGTTTTCAGCTTATAACCAGAATATAATACAAGCAATAGGGGTGGAAAAAGCATTTAAACACAGAAGTGAAAGTTATTTAGCCTTAGGAAATGCCTTCCCTTATGCCCTGAGCAAGATACATGGTTCACTACCCACTAATTACAAAGTGCTAACGGTAGAAGTAGCTGTACAACTTTACATTTTATTAGCTAACTTTATAATAGAAATTAACCTTTTAGTAATTAGTTAAAACCAGCTGTTTTTGTATTTTTACATATATAATTAGGACACTGGGATATATAAGAGGAACAGCTGAATTTTATAAAAGAAAGCACCTGTAGTACAACGAATAGAATTTACAACGTCCTTAGAAATAAGAAGCCTGAAACAGGTTCATAGGTGTTTAGCCAGTAGCTTTGCAATGCGAATGAATAGGATGCTTAGCAAGATCCCAAAGCCTAGAGATTACAATGTCTGGTAAATGCCATAAGACCATGGGAACCTGAGGCTGTCTGCAGGAATGCCCATCACTGATTAGGCCTCCCACAGGATTGGGTGTACGGGTTAACAGGGAAGGACAGTGACTATGTTGTATTTGATTATTGTAACAGAAAATGTATAAAATGCTGTACATTCCCTGCAAAAATCAGAATGTGTCATTGATCTCTCTTCTAATCTGAGCCAAAGATTAAGGAAATAATTGAGTTCTTACGTTGAGGCCAGATTCAGGGACGATCCTTTGGCCTTCTCCCTGTAATAACTGGTTTTTGCTTGAATGAATATCTTCCACTTGCCTGAATCCTGCCTGTCCTGAGTCTTCATCCCCAGTTGTGTGTGTGTTTGGGGGGAGGGGTGGGGCGTTGGTGGTGGTGGGTGGTGTAAGCTCCTACAACAGTAGTTTATCATGCAATCCTTAAAGATGCAAGCACAATTTATTACAAAGGGACAGCCACTGACTATGGAACACTTATAATTGGGAATACATAAGAAGCTACAAGTAGCAGGTGAGATGGCAGAGACAGGGAAGGACACAGCTGTGGATTGTTTTGAAAATAAGGATGAGAATTTTAAAATCAAGAGCTTTCTTGACAAGGAGCCAATGTAGCTCAGCAAGCATTGTGCCAATAGATAGATTGACAATAGACAAGACGAGAAGCACAATTTTGGATGACTTCAAGTTTATGGAAGGTAGAATGTGTCAGACCAGCCAGAAGTACGTTAGAATGATAGATTCTACAGAGAATAAAGGTGTTTGAAGTTTCAGCAGCAGATGAATTGAGGCCAGGGTTGAAATTGAGCAATGTTGTGGAGCTGAAAATAAGCAGTCCAGGTGATGGCGTGAATATGAGCTCATCTTTGAATCAAGTGTGAGACAAAGGTTGTGAACAGACTGGTTTAATTTCAGGCTGTTTCCAGGATAAAGACTGTAAGATATAGAAGCAAAGTTAGTCATTCAGCCCATCAAGTCTGCACTGTCTTTTGATGAAATCTTGGCTGATCTGATAAAACACAACTCCACTTTCCAGCTTTTTTGCATAACCCTTGATTCCCTTATTGATCAAAAATCTCCCTGTCTCAGCCTTGAATATGCTTAATGACTCTGCCTCGATAGCCCTCTGTGGTAAACAATTCTGCAGATTCACTAACACCAAAATTAGTGGTATAGTGGAAAGCAAAGAAGGTTGCCTCAGAGTACAATGGCATCTTGATCAGATGGACCAACGGGCCGAGGAGTGGCAGATGGAATTTAATTTAGATAAATGTGAGGTGCTGCATTTTGGAAAGGCAAATCAGGGCAGGACTTATACACTTAATGGCAAAGTACAGGGGAGTGTTGCTGAACAAAGAGTCCTTGGAGTGCAGGTTCATAGTTCCTTGAAAGTGGAGTCGCAGATAGATAGGATAGTGAAGAAGACGTTTGGTATGCTTGCCTTTATTGATCAGTACATTGAGAATAGGAATTGGGAGGTCATGTTGAGGCTGTACAGGACATTGGTTAGGCCACTTTTGGAATACTGCATTCAATTCTGGTCTCTCTGCTATAGGAAGGATGTTGTGAAACTTGAAAGAGTTCAGAAAAGATTTACAAGGATGTTGCTAGGGTTGGAGCGTTTGAGCTACAGGGAGAGGCTGAATAGGCTGGGGCTATTTTCCCTGGAGCATCAGAGGTTGAGGGGTGACCTTAGAGGTTTATAAATCATGAGGGGCATGGGTAGGGTAAATAGATAAGGTCTTTTCCCCGGGGTGAGAGAGTCCAAAACTAGAGTGCACAGGTCAATTACTGTTGGGTTAAGTACCTGAGTGATACTTAATTTTATGGATCTTCCAGGAAAAAGGTGATGAGGGACTCTTACCAACTCTTAGCAAACAGGCAAAACCCTTCCACCTCTGTTTAAATGCAATCTTTCATCTTTGAAGACCTTCAAGGATCTTGTGTCCTATGACATTTTTTCACTTCTGTCACTGACTGCATACCCTATCTTTGGTTTGTCAAAACTCTACATATCATGGGGATATTATTGCTCATATACAAAAATGAAATCAGTTTTATCAATTGCACAGATGAGTTACATACATGCCAAATTTCAATATGTGATCTATAGTGAATCAATTGAGATACTCCATGTTCCCTCAGAACATTGAGTTGATAAGGAGAAAGATTATCCAAACTCCTGCTTCTGATCAACATCCAGCAACTTGAATTATTGAATGGGTTCCACATGTAGCTGTTACCAGCTGAATGGTGAAACAACAGCAACACGTTATCAGAGATACTAGGAACTGCAGATGCTGGAGAATCCGAGACAACAAGGTGCAGGGCTGGATGAACACAGCAGGCCAAGCAGCATCATAGGAGCAGAGAGGCTGACGTTTCGGGCCTAGACCCTTTGGGTCATCCAGCCCTGCACCTTGTTGTCTCAGCAACACGTTATCCACTGGTTTGCATTAACAAACATTTCTTCTACTTCCTGCAGTTTGATTATTATAATTCTGTGCTGATCAATGAGAGAGATAAAAATGGGAAATATGTGGAGCTTGGAAATGAGTTTATTTTGGAAAGAAATGAACATTTCAACAATTTGCCTGTGAACACCTCACTCAGTAACATACAAGTCCCAACTAATGTGTATAATAAAGGTAAGGTAAACAAGTTTGTTACTTAGTATGTTACTTATCATTTCTAATTTCAGGTGTTGATGAATTTGTCGTTTTCTTTTTGTCATTTACTCTCTTCCTGGCTCCCCTGCCCTCCTGAGGCTGGCAACTATCCCATGTTTGCCATCTTTCCTCTTCCTCTCCCAACTCCAGAATCTACGTGAAAAATGCTACTGGCATTTCAGCCAATACAAAGTGGTAAGGATTTAAGGTAGAATAGCCTCTAGATGTCCTGTTTTCTGAAGTTAATGTTGAGGCTGAAGGCCAAATTTCACAAGAAGCTTGGGCCTTCAGCATCTAATTCACATTCTAAGAACCTAATTTGAGACTGTAAATGGCCCAAACCCAATTTCTACCTTGATACTAACATGAAATCAGCATAATAATTAAAACATCAAAATATGTTCAAGCAGTCATTAATCCATTCGTCAATTTCAATTTTATAAATTTTAAGAAAAACTCCTTGCCGTTTAAATATCTTTCCTCCCAAAAACCATCTGAGCAACATCAAGATTTTTCACAAATGTATATTTCATAAATGTATTACTGTTATCTAGTGACAGGACATCTGCACTACATCAGTTCTTATCTTCATGATACAACAACCTTTCTGAAATGGATGAGTGGAATGTTTTCTCTGCTGTCTAGCTGAAATGGCCAAATGTAGTGATAGTGTGAACTGGTACTGCTTCTTGGTTATCATCAGCTTTCAAGTACCCAAGGTGGTCTCTGTCAGAAAACATTTATTGATTTGCTTTGAATTTCTGGACTTGTTACCGTGATTCAAATTTGTTCACTGTTTGTGAAACATCTGGATATCAAAATCCTATCCACTGACTAGTCAAATATTTGACACAAAGTTTAAATAAACCAAATTTCTCGCTGGAGCAAAGATATATGTTGGATAAATTGTGTAACCAACACATCAGAGCAATAATTTCTGATATGAGGAATCATCTAGCATTAGTGGTGCATAAGCTCATGAAGCCATAAAGAATTCCTTTCAGTATTTAAGTAGAAACATCAGCCAAATATATATTCTGTATACTTTGGAAATTAATGATAGGTTCCTGTATAATACATGTATTGTCCATACTCCAAATTTTATAGGGCTCAATCCTTTATTTTAAAATGAGCAAAGTGATTCCACAATAAATACATTGAAAGCACAATTTACTAAAATGGTGCAGATTGGACAGAAAATGTCATTGAATTGATTAACAGGCTGCCTATCATTTCTGTACCACTGGAGTAATTTCAGCAACTCTCATGAGTTATAAGATGGAGTTTTGAATAGAGTGAAGGCTAACTGAAATCTGTCACACTTTGTTTAAGGAACAAAACATGGTGCTATACTTCATCTTCACTTTGCATAGCTGCAGTAACAGTAGCATCTTATGTCACAGGGTGATCATAAAAAAATCCAATCTGAATGATTCAGTAATGCCATGTGATAAAGTGCACATCTCTTAGCATTTACCCTTTCCACAGATCCTGATATTTTGAATGGAGCATACTGGTCAGAAGCATTAAACACAATCTTTTCTGAAAACTTTGGTCAAGATCCAACTCTCACCTGGCAATATTTTGGAAGTTCCACGGGTTTCTTTAGACTTTATCCAGGTACACATATTAAAATTCAACAGAAAACTGATGTTAACATTTTTGAATGGATTGCTTTGCAAACAAAGGAATGGAGAATTTGGATTTATATGCAATGACCCTCACTTCACATCTTACAAACTATATATGTGTTGGTCTTCTACAACTCCGGAATCCGGAAAGGGTTAATGGTAGAAATCCCAGAAGATGCCAGAGAGATTGCTGGTGACAGTGTTGAATCTCTAGGTGTGAATCATAGAGAATCGTGTTATGTTAAAGCACAGAGTGAGGGGCCATTTGACCATTGCATCTATGATGGCACTCTGCAATAGTGATTCAGCTAGATATTCTCTCCTAACTTTGTCCCATAACATTGCATTTTGTTTCTTTTTGCTTAGTTATCCAATTTAATTTTGACAATGACAAATTTATAGATACCTAAAAACGATTAGATGGTCAGGCAGAAGACAGCCTGATGATGACAGACTGTTATGAGTTTATACTGACAGCTACCAGCTCAAATACTAATCCTGCATAATTTACAGGATGCACAGAGATGGCATCTGCAAGTGTTGAGATGTGGGAAATGAATAACCTGCAACCATGTCAAGGGGAAAGGCACAGGTCAGAGCTGGACGGCAAGTTCTATTTTGGGGGATTCATGTAAGGACTTTGATGGGACAAGAAATGGAAGAAGACTGATGGGTATGTTCAAAAATAGTTAATGAGTTGGAAGCCTGTGGTCAATGTTAAGGAACAATTGTTTGGGACCAACTTGATCTAAATCCATTCTTTCCAATATAGAGTCATAGTCATATAGCATGGAAAGAGACCCTTCAGTCCAACCAGTCCATGCCCAACATAATTCCAAACTAAACTAGCCGCACCTGCCTGCTTCTGGCCCACATCTCTCCAAACCCTCCCTATTCATGTACTTATTCAAATATCTTTTAAATGTTGTAGTTGTGCCCACATCCTCCACTTCCTCAGGAGGTTCATTCCACATGCAAATCATCCTCTGTAAAAAAAATTGTCCCTCATGTCTTTTTTAAATTTCTCTCCTCTCACCTTAAAAATGTGCCCTCTAGTCTTGAAATCCTCCATCCTAGGGAAAAGACACCTGCTATTAACCCTATCTATAACCTTTATGATTTTATAAACTTCTATAAGATCACCTCTCTTCCTCCTATGCTCCAATGAAAAAAAAATCCCAGTCTTTGTTTATAACTCAAACCTTCTATACCTGGCAACATCCTGGTAAATCTTTTCTGAACCCTCTCCAGCTAAATAATCTCCTTCCTATAACTGGGCGACCAGAACTGGACACAGCATTCCAGAAGAGGCCTCACCAATGTCCTGTACAACCTCAAATCCCAACTCCCATACTCAAAGGACTGCGCAATGAAGGCAAGCATGCTAAATGCCTTTTTCACCACCCTGTCTATAACTTAAAAGAATAATGTACCTGAACCCCTAGTTCACTCTGCTCTATCACACTACCCAAGTTGCTACCATTAATTGCATAAGTTCCACCCTGTTTGTCGTACTAAAGTACAATACCTCGCATTTATCCAGATTGAACTCCATCTACCATTTTTCAGCTCATTGACCCATTTGATCAGGAACCAGTTGTAATCTGAGAAAACCTACCTCACTGTCTACTATGCCACCAATTTTGGTGTTGGCTGCAAACTTACTAACCATGCCTTCTATATTCTCATCTAAATCATTTATATAAATGCCAGACAAAAGAGGACCCAGAACCAGTCCCGTTGGAACACCGCTGGTGACAGGCCTTCAGTCTGAAAAGCAACCCTTCACCTCCACTCTGTCTCCTGCCATTAAGCCAATTATGTATCCAATGGGCAAGCTCACCCTGAATCCCTTGTGACCTAACTTTATTGATTAGTCTACTGTGCATTGTCGAAGGCTTTACTTAAGTCCAAGTAAACAACATCTACTGCTCTGCCCTCAATCATTTTGGTAACTCCCTCAATAAACTCAATCAAGTTTGTAAGACATGATTTTCTCGGCACAAAATGATGCTTACTATCCCTAATCAATTTTTTGTTAGCACTCTTGTGCATCCAATCACGATGCAGCATTTGATATCTAACATTTCAGTTTCTATAGCAGCTAGAACCTCTACAACAAGCTTGAGTGTCACAGTGCAGGCTCAGACTGAAGTTAAGAAGGGTCAGCGTTCTGCAATACCAGCTCACACTGCTCTTATGCAAGCTTAGACTGTGTACCCATTATGGTTACTGATACTTGTGTTGAAAGGAAATTCCAGGGCATCATAATAGTGCAACAGATTAACAGTTACTGATGTCCTACCTTGGATGAGCAATGTTTCCCTGGTGAATGAACCTATCATGATAGCAACTGCATTTGTGATCTCATATCTTTCACTGCCCCTGCTCCTCCCTGTGTTTCTAGATACTACTTTTAGCACTCCTCTGCTCTGTATTGGGCACCGCTCCTTCTCTTGCCACCTCCCATAGGCTTCCAATGTATTAAGTATTACATTGTACATACCCATCAGTCTTCTTCTGTTGCTTGTCCCATCAAAATCCTCATCTGAGTCCCACAAAATAGAACTTGCCGTCTAGCTCTGACCTGTACCTATCCCCTTGACATGGTTGCAGGTTGCTCATTCCTCGCGTCTCGACACTTGCAGATCCCACCTTTGTGCCATCCTCTAAATTATGCAGCGTCATAATTTGAGCTGGTGGTTGTCAGTATAAACTCGTAACAGTCTGTCAATATCAGGTTGTCTTCTGCCTGACCATCTAATTGTTTTTGGTTATCTGTGAATTTGTCATCAGTGGTGGAATGCAGAGGAAAAGTGAAAGGTGAATGCTTGCATTGTCCACATCATTTAAGTAGAAAGATATTACGGGAGGAGGAGGAATGGATATGAGGATATTGTCACATTCAATTGATTCAGCCTCCACTGTTGGTCATGGGTGTAGCAATTTCCATTCCGAGATGGCCAGCACCATCTCCTCCATGGGGATGATGACATACCAGTGCTCATATGTCGCAGGTATAAGTTAGTAATTTGTGTTTCTTTTCTGCAATCAGTTTTTTAAAAAAATCTGTTTGCAATAAGTGACTGTTTTTGTGTTAAGTACAGAAACCTAATGAGTGTTTTCATTTAACATGGGTTCATCTGTTAGGTAAAATAGAAACTTTGAATAGTTTTGACAAATTTTTTTCACAATTGTGATAACTCTAGAAGTAGTGTAGCTTGATTTCCAGCAAACTACCTGAGTGAATCATGAAATACTCAAGTTTTGTATTAACAAATAGCTATTTTTATAAATTCTTTATCTCCAAATTTTGTAGCTGAAATGAGGAAGGAGGGAGGCTTGAGAATGAGATGAGGGTGGGAAAGATTATACATCATGCTACTTTGTGATTAAGTCCAATAGCTGATTGATAAATAGCAGTCAATAACCATGTTCTTGCTATATTTCTCAGGTATAAAATGGATGCCAGATGAAAATGGAGTCATATCTTTTGATTGCAGGAACCGAGGCTGGTAAGTAAAGTACTATTCAGTGATTGCTTGAATGGCTTTCAAAGGATAAGCACAATTTAATTTTTCATTCAGATAGCCTGGTTCCCAATCTTAACTGAAAGTAACACTGAACTTAATTTCTCTTGTAACTGGATGAGAAAGAAAAAATCAAGCAGTATCTTTTTTTTTAATCCCTTCTTAGAATGGGGATGGCACTGGCAATGAGTTTATTACTATTTATAATTAATCACTGACCCCTAATTGCCTTTGAGAAGTGTTTGTGAGTCATCATCTTGATTTATTTCAATTATTTTGGTGTACATACACCTGCGTTGCTGGTAAGTAGGCAGTTCCAGGAATTTTACTGAATGATATCATCCTGAATTGGAAACTATATGATTTGGAGGGGAGCTTCCAGATTGTGGTGTTCTCAGGCACCTGATTTTCTCAATCTTCTTGCTGATAAAAAAATCACAGGTTTTGAAAGTAATGTCTAAGATGCCATGTAAAGCTGCTTCAGTACATCTTCTATGATGCTGGAGATGTAGGCCATACAGCTCAAAGACTGATGAGTTGCATCAAGCAGTGTATTGCTTTGGATGATGTAAATTACTCAACCAAGCTATACTTGCAAAATTCATAACACAGTCCATAACATTAGAAGTGATTCTATGATTTGAAAACATTTGCTAAATAAACCTGTATGTGAAGAATTATGTTGACAACCATAGTCAACTTGCCTGCTTTAGAATGTAAACAAAGCTTGGTGGTTAACTGTCAGTCAGCATTAACTGGTGCATTCTCCATGACAATGCCTCAACCAATTACTACTGTCTTCTCACATGGTATAAACATTATTTTCCCTGTATATTGGTAGGTCTAGAGTTGTCCTGATGAGTAAAAGAGAAATTGTTTTGACAACATGTCCTTTTTTTCCCAGCAACACTATAATTAAGAGTAATGTGGATGTCGTCTTGAGCATTCACTGTTAAGAATTTGTATTTGCTCAAGGCATTCTCAGGTTCAGTTATATTAATTGTATCTTTTAAGCTTTCTGTGCATCCTACTTTAATGGAAATCAACTCTGATAGCCCTAAATCCATTTATGATTGCCTAATCCAGGCATGCAACAATTGCACCTCCTGTGATTTAGATTGATCATTTTCCATTACATACGATCGCCCAAAAATCATGAAGGAGAGATTCTTTATTCCACTGGCATCAGGCCTTTACAAACACAAGGGGGAATTAAGGTTGAACTAGGAAACCAGCTAATTTGCACTGAATTATCCATGTAGCTCACATCATTTTGAGGAAATGCTTTCTGTCTCCATTCAGCTTTTTGACAAAAACATCTTTATTTTTCCAGAGAGAGGCCACTTGATTGCTTGAGCTCCCATGCTCAGCACTCTCAGTCAGCACCTCCTGTTGAAGCCATTAAATTGTGTATGCATTTATCTTCATTATTTCTTTCACACCCATACAATAAATGTCTGTTATTTCTCTCAATTTTAGTTTGGTTCAAGCCTCTATATCCAAGAAAACATGACGTTTGAAGCTGTCTTGTTCTTTGGAAACCATTTCTAATCTCTTTAAGTGAATACATTTCAAAGTTAGTCTGAGGTTCCTTGTTACAACCTTTCTTTCTCCTTCATGTCAGATTTCTCATTACTGTTATATCTCTCTTTAGTTTTCATTGACATTTAACCCATCTATCTGATAGATTCAATGTTCATAACTATGGCTGGGATCTTCCCATTTTTGAACTAAGTCCAGAAGCAGGAAACTCATGGCCTATGAAGATGAGAGAGCTTGCATAATTTTCTCTCAGGCAGGCAGCTGATTAGATGTTAATGGACTTTCTGCTGGAATAACACCTGGGGTGAGGAAATCCCAGCCACTAAAGAACCCAGCAGTGCGATGGTCAAAACTGTGGCTGCTGTTGGGACAAAAGCCCAAAAATCTAGGATGAAGGAGAATCACCTATTGGCATTGTTAGTGTTGTGTTGCGGGGGGGAGGTAATATCTCATAAAGTGGGCTTGTAGTTCAACTTGATGAACTACCATTAGTGTCCAAGTTATGGTGTGTACACAAAGTCGTTCTAGGACTGAACTTCAGCAAAAACCCACTCATTCCCATCTGTTCTTACACATTAAGTCACACAGTCGATTTCCAATCTGATAAGATTGCAACTGTATTTTAATCAGATGTCACTTATTTCCAGTACATATATCAGGCATTGTTCATGTCTATCCAAAGCCTCCCTTATCCTGCTGATTGTATAGTCTAGGCCAAGTCCTTGTTTCTATCACTCATTCCCTGACCTGGGTCTTTTGCTATTTGCTTGCATTTATTTTACACTACAAACATTTCTAGCTGAATCTATTTTTAACCTTTGCAGCTTTAACCTTTTCAGCTTCCCACCTTTTGTCCCAAAGCCTTGCCCATGTTGCCAACATTGTAGTATTGTCCCTTCTCCTTGTGCTCCACTACCTATAGATACTTGACAAGAGTTGAGCTTAGGGTTATAATGGTACTTTGTGCCATCTGTATAGTTTGGTGCAGCATATGGGCTTTTGCCTCATGTGTTTTGGCCCCACATTATCCAAATCCCATAACTACTTGTTGTCTCTTGTGTCTCTTCCTGGTGAACCTAGTAGGCTGAATATGGAACTAATAACAACTGGGTGATAATCAAAACAGTGGAGATGATCCTAACCCATGGGTGCATTTGTACTTTCAATTGCCAATTCCAAAGATTCTCCATCCAAGTGGTGGTATCTGCTTGTTTAATATTTTCAGGCAAATCCAGGCTAGTTGCCGAAGTGTAGCATGGCCCATGTACTCACTGGGTCTCGTCTCGAATACCTGTAAGGTGTTCAGGTAGCAATGTGATAATATAGGAAAACTAGCTTTGATACTGTCAAGTTTTCCTTAATGTCATCCTTCACCTGTACTTTTAACTGTTTCTCTCCTGTAGATTTGCACCAAGTCTACCTTCCCCACTGTAGCTGGTACCTATGGAAAAATGGCACATGGCTAGTTCTAGGACAGCATCAATTGTTTCCATTTCCGTAAATTTTTGTGATGAGGTAATGCAATATCTCTCTGTACTCGGATATGAAATGAATTGAAACAAAAACAGAAATTGTGGAGAAACTCAGAAGGTTTAGCAGCATCTGTGGAAGAAAGCAGAGTTAACATTTCGAATCTACTGACTCTTTATCAGAACTTTTAGAAGCTGGGAAGAAATGGTATCATGGTAAAGAGAGGGGGTGTGAGGGGAGGGAGGAGGGAGGTGATGGAGTGGATATGTAGTGATGGAGTCAGAAAAAGAAATATATTTGAAAGAGGTTTTAATTGTAAGCTAGGAGAAAAGGGAAGCAGAATAAGTGATAATGAGAGCTAAGTGTAGGAGAGAATGAGCAGGCTGTGCTGAAAGCAACTCGTGTCATTTGGTAAATGGACTAAGAAGGGTGAGAATGGCTGAAAGCAACATATCATGATAAGACCAGGGTGTGAGAATGAGTGAAAAGCATGGAAGGATGTAATCTAATCCTAAAGTTATTGAATTTGAGATGCTGTTCTTTGAGCTTGCATTGAGCCTTGCTGGAGCACTGCAGTGGGCCTGAGACAAAAATGTTGGTGTGGGAACATAGTGTGTTGATGTGGCAGGCAACTGGAGGCAGTGGGGACAGAGCTTCCAGGTAAAAGCCTGAGGACCAGGGCCCAGAACAAGCTCAGTTGTAGCAGCAGTGGGAGAGGAGCACAGTGGAGCTTCACTGAATCAAAAATTAGAGCTCCTGAGGTGATGTCATAGTTCATAAAGTGATACAGGGCAAGAGGATTGGCTGCTTAGGGCCAGCTTTGGTGACTGAGAGATAGACACAGTGCAAAGTCCTTATTTTTTGTGGTTTGTAGCTTGTTAGGGATGGTGAGAGAGAGAGAGGAATCTGATTTGGTGAGTGGTCGGTAAGATTGAGTTATCTGTTCCTTGTTTGTTTGTATTTGGGAAGGTTCACAATGGCAAGGGTACTTGACTCTGTGGAATGCCTCTCCTTTAGAGATAGCAAGAACTGCAGATGCTGGAGTCAGAGATATCACAGTGTGGAACTGGAGGAACATAGCTGGCGGCAGCATCAAAGGAGCAGGAAAGTTGACGTTGCAGGTCAGGATGCTTCTTCAGAAATGGGGAGGGCGTAGGGAGCTGAGAAATAAATAGAGAGAGGAGGGGTGGGGCTGGGGAAGGTAGGTGGGATGGTGATAGGTGAGTGCAGG